GGGGGCTGTGTCGCGGTGTCGGGGGCGGTGTCGCCGCTGCGATAATGCCCTGCAGGCCGGCTGGTCCTAGACGTGGTCGTGGTGAGGACGGCGAAGCGCGTTAACGGGCAGTTACTGGAGGCCGCAGCCTGGGAACCCCCTCGAGCAGAGAGAGGCTCTGCAGAGGATCCCCGAGGGACTTGCAGGACCAGTGAATACCCAGGACTGGGTCTCGTGTTTTGTGTGTTTGTGCCCGTTTCATCTCCACTCATATGCTGACCCTTGGGATACAGCTGGATGGGGAAACACATCGCTCCTCACCTTCCCCAAACCATCCTTCAGCCCTCCAGGTGGGTCCTCACCCTGCCAGCAGGGCAGAGTTTTCTTCCAGGTCACTGTGACAGTTCCCCAGCCCAGCAGCACATCACTGTGAAATTGCTCATCTTCCAGGTCCTTCCACACTACCTGCAGTCAGGAATCCATGTAAAGACCTCAACTGTTTAATTATTTAAAGATTTATTTTAAAATTAGAAATGCATCATATTTTTGGAAGAGGCAGAATTTTTACATTTGTCTTTGGGCCAGCTCCTGTGCAGCCTTTGGGTGGTGTCTAAAATCCCCAAAGCTCAGGGCCTGGAGCTGGAATGGTCCCAAGCACTGGCAGCTCATTTCCATACAAGCAGAGCTTTGGAAGCTTTGCAAAGTTTCCCTACACCCATCCCTTAAGCAGGTTGTTCCTGGCTAGTGAATTACTCTGGTTCCTCTGACCTCTTATTCCATAACAGCACAGAGGCTATTAAAATCTGGGCAAAAGTCAGACTGTGCATCCCATGCTTGGCAGCCTGGAGCATTAATCTTCTCTGACTTGTCCCCAGGTCCCCCATTGTGACATCCTCAGAAGCTGAACGGGTGCTGGCCCAGCCAAAGCCTGCAAGGTCTGACCAACAGACAGATGTACAAGGAGCTCCAGAGCTCATAGCACCAACTCTGCTGTAGAAACCATCACTGAATGAAAGGAATTTTCAAAACCGTTAGCAGCACTGTGGGATCCCCTGGAGGTAGGATGAGATTCTTCATGTCTGCTAAAACAAGCAAGAAGTCTTTTGTTGTTGTTTTCCTGGTTTGCTACAGGGAAATCCTTTGGCCTTTAGGGGAGATGGATGAAGGGGTTGTAGGGGAGCCTGGCTCATGGCAGACCAGGTGCTGCCCTCTCTCACATTGTCCCCCTCACTTGGAGTTGAAGCTGGTCCCTACCAGCACCTATTCACAGTGAAAAGAAACTGGAATGTGGGTGGCTCTAAAACTTCCTTGAAAACTTTGTTGCCGTGTTGAGGTGTTCACAGGAGTCAGCACCAGTACTCACATTGTGCCAAGGAGCTGAGGCACAGCTAAGCTTAAAAAGGTTTTAAAAAAAACTGTTAAAATGCTGTAAAGAAGTAT